GGAAATAAGCCAGGCAGAGAAAGATAAATATCACATGATCTCCCTCATTTGTGGAATATAATGAACAACATAAACTGATGAACAAAAACAGATCCAGAGGCAGAGAAGCGTCGATCAGACCGTAAAACCTCAGAGGGAAGGTAGGGGAGGGTGGGGGTAAGAGGGAAAGATCAACCAAAGGACTTGCATGCAGGCATATAGGCCTAACCATGGACACGGACAACGGGGGGAGGTGAGGGCATGAGCGGGGGGGGGAGGGGTAGAGGGTAACATGGGGACAAGGACACATATGTAATATCTTAATCAATAAAAAATATATTAAAAAAATGAAATAAAAAAAAGAGTAACATAAAGGGATTCAACAGTAGATTATAGGATCTTGAGAATCAAATCAATGATTTGAAATATGAGGAAGCAAAAAACACCCAACCAGAAGAGCAAAAATAAAAAATAAAAAATATGAAGATAGTGTAAGGAGTCTCTGGGACAACTTCAAGCATACTAACATCCGAATTACAGGGATGCCAAAAGAAGAGAGAGAGCAAGATACTGAAAACCTATTTGAAGAAATAATGACAGAAAACCTTCCCTACCTGGTGAAAGAAATAGACTTACAAGTCCAGGAAACACAGAGAACCCCAAACAAGAGGAATCCAAAGAGGACCACACCAAGACATGTCATAATTAAAATGCAAAGGGAAAAATACAAAAAGAGAACCTTAAAAGCAGCAAGAGAAGAACAGTTAGTTACGTACAAGGGAGTGCCCATACAACTGTCAGCTGATTTCTCAACAGAAACTATGCAGACCAGAAGGGAGTGGCAAGAAATATTCAAAGTGATGAATAGCAAGTACCTACAACCAAGAATACCCAGCAAAGCTATCATTTAGAATTGAAGGTGAGATAAAGAGCTTCACAGACAAGAAAAAGCTACAGGAGTTCATCACCACTAAACCAGTATTATATGAAATACTGAAGGGTATTCATTAAGAAAAGGAAGAAGAAGAAAAAGGTAAAGATAAAAAATATGAACAACAAATACACATCTATCAACAAATGAATCTAAAAATCAAGTGAATAAATAATCTGATGAACAGAATAAACTGATGAATGGAATAGAATGAGGGGCATGGAAATGGAACAGACTGATGATTCTCAGAGGGAAGTGGGTGTGGCGGGTGCAAGACGAGATTAGACAAAGATCTTATATGCATGTATGCATTACCTATGGACACAGACAATACAGTGGCGAGGGCTTGGGGTGGGGTAGGAACCTGGTGGAGGGGAGCTATGGGAGGAAAAAAGAGGGACATCTGTAATAATCTCAACAATAAAGATTAATTTAAAAAACCACAAATGTGGCAAAATGTTCATAATTAGTGAATCTGGGTGAATTGTTTATGGCAATACTTTGTATTATTCTTGAAACTCTTCTGTAAGTTTTAAATTATTTCAGCCCTACCTGGTTTTGCTCAGTGGATAGAGCGTAGGCCTGTGTACTGAAGGGTCCAGGGTTTGATTCTGGTCAAGGGCACATGCCTGAGTTGTGGGCTTGATCCCCATTAAGGGGAGTGCAGGAGACAGCCAATCAATGATTCTTTCTCATCATTGATGTTTCTGACTCTCTCTTCCTCTTCCTTCCTCTCTGAAATCAATAAAAAAAATCCTGTTTTGTTTTGTTTTTAAAGAAATTATTACAAAATGCAAAGTTATATCTTGTTCTTAGGAGAGACGTTAGAGTGAGCTAGCAGTATCCCATCCAAAGGATTGCCTTCCACATTTGTAAGGAACAGTCAGCCAATCCCTGCTAATACACCCATGAGGATAAAGTAGAAGTCTGTGAATGTTTATATATTACTCTAGTTGTAAAGCATTTTGAAGGTAGATTGCAGTAAATGTCAGAGACGCATTAAAAAAAGAATCAGAGCTAAAAATAAACTAGATTCATGATAAAGAATTTCCTTAAAAAATGGAGATCATAGTGGCTGTTCTTTTTTTCTTTACTAAAGTTTATTTAACAAAAGTAAAATGTGAAAATGGACAGAGCTCGATTGGCATGTTAGGCTTTTAATATATAAAATAGCTAAGATATGGAGACAGCCCAAGTGCCCAACAGTAGATGAGTAGATGAAAAACCCTGTGATACATTCACACCATGAAATACTATGCAACTGTAAAAAAGAAGGATCTCTTACCCTTTCAGACAGCATGGAGGGACCTGGAGAGTATTATGCTAAGTGAAATAAGCCAGACAGAGAAAGACAAGTATCACATGATATCACTTATATGTGGAATCTATTGAACAAAATAAACTGATGAACAAAATGGAACCAGAGACATTGAAGCATGCAACAGATGGATGTATTTCAGAGGAAAGTGGGGGAGGGAGGAGGGAAGAGATTAACCAGATAACTTATATGAATACTAGAGGCCCAGTGCATGAGATTCATGCACTCGGTGGGTCCCTCAGCCCTACCTGTGCCCTCTCACAGTCCAGGAGCCCTCAGGGGATGTCTGTCTGATGGCTTAGGCCAGCTCTCTCTAGGGGACTCCCTAAGCCAGCAGTCAGACTCCTTAGTGCTGCCGCTGTGTTTGCCGGCTATAAGCCCAGCTCAGGGCTTCTGGCTGAGTGGCACTCCCCACTGTGGGAGCGCACTCACCACCAGGGGACAGCTCCTGTGTTTAGTGTCTGCCTCCTGGTAGTAAGTGTGCGTCATAGCGACCGGTTGTTCTGCTGTTCAGTCTATTTGCATATTAGCCTTTTATTATATAGGATGTTTATAACCCATGGACACAGACAATAGTGTGATGAAGGCCTGGGGTGTGGGGTAGGAACAGGATGGAGGGGCCAATGAGGGGAAAAAAGGGACATCTGTAATATTTTCAACAGTAAAGATAATTTCTTTTTACATGGAAATCAACCTGAGCAAAGCAGGGGCTTGTCAAATGTCCACAGAATGTCCAGCTGACCATGTTCCCTTAGCAGCCCTACTCGCGTATATCAGACCTGTTTCCCCGGACTCTACTCTGATCCCTCCTAATGTACTCTAGTCCTGGCCATATTGTTCCTTCTTTACTACAAGTTATGAAACCATCCACATTCAAATTCTGTCTTGAAAAGAGACACCAGTTTCCCAAAGTGTAGGATGGGCAGCAGCCAGCCCCCTCTGTCTAGGTCAGTGATGGCGAACCTATGACACGCGTGTCAGAGGTGACACACGAACTCATTTTTTTGGTTGATTTTTCTTTGTTAAATGGCATTTAAGTATATAAAAATAAATATCAAAAATATAAGTGTTTTACTATGGTTGCAAATATCAAAAAATTTCTATAGGTGACACGGCACCAGAGTTAAGTTAGTGATTTTCAAAATGCTGACACGCCGAGCTCAAAAGGTTCGCCATCACTGGTCTAGGTAGTACTCACGCACACAGCTCACATTGCTGAATTACCTGCAGAGTAAGTATTTATTTTACAGGTATTTCCAATATGTAGCGAGTGATGTGACCACTGATGGCAGTGAGAAAATGATCCTTTTTAGAATACATTTAGGTAAACAGAAAAAGAGGCAATTTAAAGAAAAAGGTTAGGTCAAAATAAAGCAGGGCTACAGCAATTGCAAAAGTAAAGGCTGCTGTAAGTTCTGAGGTTTGCAAATGTTCACTGATGCACATAACATTTCAAAGTTCGGTTCACAAAGCCAGAGAAGTAAACAATTATGAATTACTTGAAAATTCCTGCAGCAAATGCTAACTGCTGAAATCAGTATTTTTTTTTTCATCAGTAAAGATAGTATTTCAGAAAGCACTCTCATGCTTTTTTGAAATTATAGTAAAAATTCACAGGAAGATAATCTTCTGAACTATATATATAGTAAGTTATAAAAATATTTTTGTGTCTGAATATAAATATTTTAGTTCATAGAGATGTCTGGAAAAACTTGAAAAGGAAAAATAGTATGATCTACTAAACCCCAAATATTTATTTGTAGCTTTCTATGAAAACTAATACATCAACTACAACATCAATATCATCCCACTCTGATAAAGTTCTGGGGAAATTGCTAGAATATATTTAGGCTATTTTAATTGTTAACACTATTATGGGACATGAAAAATGCAAACAGACTTTAAGGAAAATGCCCCCATGTTTGATTTGGAAGCACCAGGCCTTACCAATGGCTGCTGGGGCTGCACGGCCTGCAGACTGAGGGGCTGGCTCTGGGGCTGAGAGGACGGCTGGGGCTGCGGGGGCTGCTGGGACTGCTGCAGCTAGAAAGAAAAAGGATTTTATACTAAACAGAGGGGTTAATTTCCAGTCTTCTCTTCCCATATGCCTTTTATTTAATTATGCTGTTGCGGCAAAATAATACACACCAGCCTCTTCCATAGCAGCCTTGCCAAACTGCTCATCTTTCAAGGGAAAGACCTAAATCTCCTCCTCCATGAAGCCCTCTTGGACCTCACCCTTCAGTAGTCACAGCGTTCTCTGTCTGTCCTGTCCTGCGTTGTCCCAGTACATGCTCTAACTCACTGTCGACTCCTTTCATGTTGCCTGCCTTCCATATATCTTATCCTTCTTATACTACCTCGTTAGACATGGAGTGCCCGTAGTTATCTTTTCATTCCCTGTGACATCTGGATGAACTAGAAGATTCATTTGTGGTGTTTCTTTTTTTTTTTTTTTTTTAAGGAAGATGAAAATAAAGATAGATAAGGAGGAGGAAACAAAGGAGTTGTTCTTAAAGAACTCCAGAAGATTAGTTTGTTTGTTTTTAAAGTAATTGTAGATATGGGAAGCTCTGGCATAAATTATGAGAATAAAATCATAAATTGTGTCTGTGACAGTTGGCAGAAATACAGAACTCTTGGAAACACAGAGAATGAGAGGAAAATCCTAGCAGATGGTCTGTCTCAAGGACCTTCAGTTTCCTCCACCCAAACATTCATTTTGATGAGGACAGCACCAGACTTCTTTTCATCCTTTGCATTTTCCAACTCGGTGTGTATACTATCCTCCAATTTATTTTTCTTCTTTAGGGCAATGCAATAAATAGCTACTTCCTGTTGGCATTTCTAAGTGACAATGCACATGGATGTGGAATCGAAGCAGAGATCTGGACGGGTTTCCCCAGTGTGAACAATGCTTACAATAGGGAAGCAGTTTTCCACTGACTCTGAACTCTGCCAAGAGAAATGCACCCAACTTCATCACAAGAAAAGAAATAATGGTCATCCTGATGTAAAAACAAATCACTTCTCTTTTTCTCTAGGGAATGTGTTGTTAAGGAAAAAAATTACCAGAAGGACATAGTATGCTAATTGGGGTAAAAAGGGAATATTAACTTTTCCAGATTTGCAGCCTTAAAAAACACCAATGTAAGACAGAAGGTAACAAGTAAAGAAATAAATGTAATAACTTTCCTCAGTGATTTGAAACTGTGAAATTTTGAAACAGAGGGAATATAAGCACCAGTCCTTGGTTGAGACATCAAGTTCTGTTCCTGTCCCTCCTGCGGGCAGGGTTATTCCTCACTGACCATACACCAGGGAACTAGAGTCCTGAGTTTTGGTGCTTTTCTTTTCTTTCTTAGTAAAACATAAAATGACTGAGCATCTCAAGCTGGACTGCTGGTAAGATGAGAGGGCACTGTACAGACTCACCAGGCAATCTCCAACTCAACAAGGACAGACTCACACATAAGGAAGACCAATGGAACAGGTGAACATAAATGCCTATATTTCATAAATAAGGAAGTTAGAAGCAAACATGTGTCAAGGGGAGGAACTCTTTATCTAGGAGACCTAAAATTAACTTCAAATAATTAAAGGATAGCTCTCTGGATTCTAACAGTCAAGATGAAATATTTCTTTGAAATATTCTACTTATTTAATGCCAACTTCATAGTCCAATTAGACCAGAGGTACTATAGAAATTTTTTTGGATTACAGACCCCTCTAGAAATATGATAAAAGCTCTAGACAGCTTTAAAAAAAATACATATAAGGAATTTTGCATTCATTTTGCATGGCCTCTAATTAAATGACTGAGTAAGCTGAGGCTCACCCTACCAATATAAAGGCCTCAGCTACCTTGAAGCTTAGTGAAAGGGGAAGGATGCTCTGCAAAATGTACGCTCCTGCTGTGACCTGGCATATTCACATAGGAAGACTCTGGTCAAGTTGGAACTAAATTATACCATTTTAGTCCTGCTGTCAAACACACAGTGTTCCTTGGAACTTGGCAGTTAAAGTCTGAAGTGCCTGTTATTCCTCGTACCTGGTAAGGACCCGCCGGGTGCTGACCTCACCTCCCAGCCCCATACCTGGAGGAGCCTCTGCTGCTGTCGCACCTGCGGCTGTCTGGGCCGCACCGGGTCCTGAGGCAGCGGCACTGGCAGGCCCGGATGTGTGGGAGTCAGCACTGCCTCGACTCCTCCGCCCATCAGCGGGCTCTGCTGAAGGGACTGATGATTCAGTCTGGAAGGAACACACAGCTGGTTTCAGGCCCGAGCACACTGCCACACTTTTAACGGGCAGCTAGCGAGCACAGCACACACTCACAGAGAAGTGGCCGTGTTCCATAATTACTTGTACAATTCAAATTCAGTAAAGCCCAGTGGTTAAGATAATCTGGATCCCCAGGGGTAGGGGTAGATGGGATCACTTGAAAAAGAACATGCATGATTAAAAATGGTTAATAGTTTTCAGTAACAAGTGACATTAACTGAGCATTTATTCTGGAGTAGGCACTGTGGTAAAAGTCTGAACGGTGTTATTTCATTGACTCTTCACAGTGGCCCTCTGAGGTCAGTAGTTTTGTTAGCTCCCCTTTAAAAGTGAATAAACAGAGAGCTAGCAAAGTAACATACCAAAGTAATCCAGATGGAAAATGGCACAGGTGGGATTTAAACCCAGAACTTTGGGGCTTTAAAGTTCAAATTCTTGGGCAATGTGCAATGATGCCACTTATTAAAATTGTTTTCCAATTTTTTTTTATCTTCCCAAATGTGCTACCATCAACCTTGCCCACTTTCCAAATAATGACTACTAAGGGTTAGTGTGCAACACTGATAATACATGAAGCTAGGCTACTATCTACCGTAGCACAAAATTGTGCGTCAAACTTAATTCTTCTAGATTAATGCCATCCCTAGAACGTTGTATGATGACTGAAATATTCTATATCTGCACTGGCCACCAAAACTAGCTACATAATTTTTAAGCCTTGGTGCAAAATAAATTGCAAGGTTTCCTGATCAAAAATTAGAATTTCAAGAAGGTGACAGTAGAGTATTGCATCAAATGTGGGTCCTCTAAACACAGTCACCGGTGTGACCGTACTGGTCACACATCTTTGATGCTGGCCCTGCTGGCTACACATGGCTACTGACCACTTCAAGTGTGACTAGTGTAACTGAGGGACTAAGTTTTAAATTAAACTTTAATTTGTTTAAATTGAAATAGCCATATGTGGCTGCCGGCTACTCTAATGGACAACGAAGTTACATACTATATCTAAGGGATCTGATTAAGCAAGAACTGAGAAGAGGTCTTTCATGACCCTGCTTTGCCAACCATCCTTGACGTGGACAAGGTAAAACTTAAAATCTAAGAAAAGTCTTGTAGGCACCAGGTACAATGAGTATTGTAATCATAGATTTTATGGCTCTGTTCAAGACATTCTAGTAAGCCATTGCTAACATTAATCAACATTTTTTTAACTTAGATATTTTTAGCCAAAAAGACCTTTATTAAAAGAAGGGAAAAGAAAGAACACTAGAACTAATATAGTGGTATCATCTAAATATATTACACCCATCTAAATATAATGGTATATTCTAAATATAGTGGTTTCATCTAAATATATTACACCCATCTAAATATAATGGTATATTCTCAATATAGTGGTTTCATCTAAATATATTACACCCATTCTATGGAAGATATGAATCAAAATACAGGAGCCTTTAATAAAATAAACAAGATGGGCCATTACTTATTTTGAATCTCTGGGTGCTCCTAAAAATAAGATGACATAATTTAAATTATATATAAATATGCAAGTTCACAAAAACAATATAAGTGCCATGCTCTAGAAGAAACATAACAAAGAGCCGTGTCCACTATTGCAATCACTGTTTCTAGATATGTTACCTCTGGGAGCCAGTCAGAGGCTGCAGGTACTGTGAGGCCTGTTGCTGAATATAGCCACTGGGCGGCTGCTGCATCTGTCTGAGTCTTTCCATCAGCGTAGGGTTGGAATGTGCAACCGGGTAGGTTCTGGAGTTATAGCTGGGGGACAGGACCACACTGCCAGCCTGCTGCTGCGGGGTCTGCTGCAAAGGCATCTGTGTTCCATACATAGTATAGCCTTGGGGCATGGCCTGCAGACAGGCACAAGGAACAAAGTCAGTGTTTTTATTTACCACCAGCATTCCTATTGCTAAGCTATATAGTGGTAAACCCAGGAGAAGCCCCCTGAAATTAACTATTCTCAAATGTTTTTATGACTCAAAGTATGAAAGAGATGCCATGAAGGCAGAGAGGCTAATCAGAAAGCTGTAGAATGAACTGGTTACATAATGATTTACCAGAAAATAAAATTAAAAAAAAAAAGAATCCTCATGTGGTTAAGAGATTACTTTTAAGATCAGTTGCTTGCTTATTCTGAAGGAGAAAGTGCATGTTTCCTTATAGACAAGCATCCATTCCTTTTATGCACAGATGACATCAGTGCTCAACAGACCCAAGCATCAATAATGCCACTTCTAAACTTATTCAGAAGAGCTGCCGCCATGCTCATGTATATTAAAATAATGGTGTACACTTTCCTAATATGTGACTTCCCTAAATCTGATGAATGTTCCTGGAGTAACTGACCAGTTATTAAAAACAACAACATTAATATCTTACCAGAGTAAGGATGTAATAGATGACTACTCACTACCCTCTAGTCCTGGTTGGACTGAAGCCCAGTTCTGCACTGTACCAGTCATCTGAATACTTCATTTTTCTATGCAATATTAGCATACACATGACTGTTTCTCTAAATTTGACATCTAATGTAAATGAAAAACCTGAGGTTCACTAGATCACTATACTTTATAGAAAAGAATGCTGACTAGAGTAGAAGAGGACTGCTGTTCAAATCGTGAAAGTACCATATTTTAAGGTAGTGTAATGGCACTGGCTTGGAAGACAGAATACTGTGTAATGAACTTCCAGCAGGCAGCATGAATGGAACCAGCCTGTAGGGCTCCGTGCCTGCGAAGGCCAACCTCGCTCTCCTTTGAGCTGTGGACAAAGTATGAGCTGCTAGCCCCAACTAGCTCTTACCAACATCCCAGCTCCTGATTATGGGAGCGACAGGGTAAAAGTACATGGATGCAGAAAAAACAAAACTATTAGAAAAACAGCTCCAGATTCACATTATATGAAGGCAAGCCTACCATTTGTTGAGCAGCTGCTGTGAATGGGTGCGGCGCGGCAGTTCCTCAGGCGCCCTAAACACCCAGTGCGCCCTCTTTTACAGGGAAGGGAACCAAGACTGAGAGTAACTTGCACATTGTTCCACAGCTAGCAAGTTGTCAAGAATGTTGCCAAGGTCTGATGCCAAGGCTGATTCCCTTCTTATTGTACTCTTTGAAACTATCTTTTAATGTGACAAATTCAAGCATGAATGATATCATTTTGTATTATAAGTATTTTGGGACTGTGAAGCATTTAAATACCTACAAAAATCATTAATAGAGGTTTGAATTTATGTTTTCAATTAAAGAATTTTCTAAAATGTGTTCTTTAAATTAATTAATCCTGACACTTGTTCAATAATCACTGGTAATGCAGGAGTAACTAAGTTCTAGACCAGGGGTGGGCAAACTTTTTGACTCGAGGGCCACAATGGGTTCTTAAACTGGACCGAGGGCCGGAACAAAAGCATGGATGGAGTGTTTGTGTGAACTAATATAAATTCAAAGTAAACATCATTACATAAAAGGGTACGGTCTTTTTTTTTTTTTTTTTTTTTAGTTTTATTCATTTCAAATGGGCCGGATACGGCCCGCGGGCCGTAGTTTGCCCACGGCTGTTCTAGACCCATAAAGCAGTTGACATCCTATTTACTCGGTTTCCCACTTCAAATAAAGGGATTAAAAATCCCCACTTTTTTGGTTAAAAAAAAAAAAATCCCCATAGCATCTATGAAACCACTGTGGGTACCTGTGCTTGCTGCAGCCCTGGATACTGGGGGAGCTGAGGGGAGGGCCGTGCTTGTGCAGCAAAGAGAGCAGCCTGGTCCCCTGGCTGGCCCTGGAAAACAAAGCCAAGAAGAACTCTTGATCATAACAGCAAGGGCTTGATTTGAGCTCCTGCTTAACAACCCAACAACCCATGACACCAAATGTCATTATGTGAAAACAGAACCTATAGATTTCCAAACTGCAGAAAATCTGACTTCTCACCTCTTTCCTATGTGTGCAGAGATTGTTGAACTTACTATGTTTTCCAAAGGAGACTACATTTGCCCCCAAAAGTAGAGCACAGACGTAAATATGAGCCACCACAATCAATGGTCAGCTCATCCGAGAGGCTCATGGCAGTGCTCCTGTGTACCCAGGACATGACCCTGCTGCAGTGAAAGTCAGGAAGCCCTAACTGTAAGATCAGAAACCCTGTGCCCATAACGAAAAGAGCACATGTGGTGAAAGCAAATGCCATATACAAATTTCATAACTTGTTGATAGCTTCTTTCCAGTGGCCTAAAATATGCCTATTTAGCCATGAATTCAATGGATGAATTTGGTATTTCCTCTGACTCCAATAATCAATTAAAATACAATCAATAAAAATGTATAAGTTAACAGCAAATACAATTCTAACCAATTACAATATAAAATAAAACCAATGGACATCTTTCAACAATTCTCATTTAATACAATTTGACCTTAGGAAAATAAATATATTTAGAAAAGCAGTATTATTTTATGTTTGGCGTCAGATGCTACTTCATGGAAGCTGCTGTAATAACCACAGGAAGAGGTCTAACTTCCCACCATCCCTATGTCTTTTCAGGACTTACTAATGATAGAGAATGGGTTTATCCTAGGATATTTTACTAACTTTTATATAATAGATGTCCTCACTTTTTAAAAGTGCTAAATAACAGTTACAGAAAAGATTTTCATGTTCTTAGAAAGTAGTATAGATATTTCTAACAGGGAAAAAGGGATGAACACTTAGCTTGAGATTGATTAAACATCTATAATATGCCGGGGACAGGCTTCTTGCTCTTATTCTCACTTTCCAGCAGGGACTCTGCAGGGAGGGAGCCTCACCCCCTGTCTTCAGTGAGGAAAAGCTGCAGGCAAGGGGCTTACACTGCTCAGTGATTCACCCAACCAGACCTAGCCCAGCCATCGTCTGACCTCAGGTGAGTGTGACTCCAAAGTTCAGGGCTCTTCCATTAGGATGAGATGCTTCTATATGTGATATTAAGGTTGAAAATATTTAAAACCTCATTTGGTGCTTATTATTTAGGGACATATAGCCTCTTAAGCTCACCCAAAAATAACCAAAAGGAGAATCTCTATTGACACTTATTAAAAATATTGAAAGTAAATGGATATACCAGACAATAAAGCTCTTTCTCTGACCCGACATGAAATTACTTGGGGCCCTTAAGAGTTTCAGCCTCTTTCAGGTGACTACCCACCCACATGCGGACCAAACGTGTTTCTGAGAGTCTCTACGGTAATATCTGCATATATTCAACAAGAATCTCACTCTCTAAAAGAGGGTACCATAAAGATGCCCTCAGCCTTTACCTGATTAATCTAAGTGTGATTATATCTCTAAATGCTTGTCCCAAGTTCCTCTATGAGAACCATGCATGGCAGTGTGGCCATTGGGACCCACAGCTATTGCCCCCAAGTATCCCAATGGCATTTGATTTTCCAAGCACTATGGTCATTAAATCAACCAGATCTTTAAATGCCACTCATCAAATCAGTGCTCCCTGACAGTGTCATGTGAGGTCCCTGAAACATATTGTTGTGCTTCTTTGTGGGGATATATATATATTTATATTTTAATATTTTTACAGAAATGAAGAAAAATGAATTACTTATTTGTGAGTTATAATCTGGAGATCCATGTGTAGTCCACAATACCCAGGCTGTGTTTGGTACGAAGGGAAGCAGACCTGTTTGTGACATCTGCATGCTGATTCCTACACCGGATCTAACTCTCTACTCTTGGCTTTCTGAAAAACTTACAGAACAACCAATGATTTCCATGTGAGGGAAACTAGATTACTGATAAGGTAAGTATCTGAATTACTGGCTACACTCTTACTGACAAATGACAGTTGATATTGTGGAGATTAAAAATAAAAATAAGAAACTATTCTACATTAAAAATCACTAAATTAACATTTAAGGAAAAAGCACTAAAACTTCAAGCAAGGAGAAAAGGACCAAAAATTTCAAATCAATTTTTATATTCTAAAATTCATGCATTTTCAGTCAACCAATTTTGTTTAAAGGTCAGCTATTTATTAGTGAACATATTCTGTTCCCTCCCATCACCTACTTCAGCACAGTAGGAAATAATCCTGATATGCATACACTCCCCGAGGAAATCACAGACACTGGCTAGCATTCTCCAGGTGCTCTGCAAATAGCTTTATTATCCTGTTTTGCCCTGAATTATTTTGAAAAATACCCTATTCTCTTCCTCCAAACTGAAATGGCCTCCAACCATTGTTGTTTTCCCCCCCAGAATAATGCCAGGAATGCATCCTTTCAATTTATAGAAATATTTCAATTTGTTGGGGAAATACAGAATAAGACAAGTTCTTTAGTCACTTGGAAGATTTTACAAATGCTCACGGAGGATCATATTGTGAGAACAAGCAAGGCAACTACAGATTAAGATTTAGTACAAGGTTTTTAATGTTGGTGGGGATGGTTTATTGCATTTATTCAAGAAGGGACTAATCACCCAGGGCAGGCCAGATACCAGGTACTAAGTGGGACCATGCCTGGCAAATAGGACACATGGTCAACTTAGTTATACGTAATTCGTGTTTCATGCATCTGTTCTTTTCAGAAAACTTTCTAAGCTTTATTTTATTTTTACTTAAGCACAAGTTAGTTTACCAAGTGCTTTTCAACTGCCCCATATTTTTCGTACCATCTTTTGTTTTGAAAACTCACTTTAAATTTACTCTTTAGCATCTATTATTCTAATCATTTCTTCCTTCTACCTGCATTAATATGTGGATTTCAATTTCCCCGTCTTGATTTATTCTGTTTAGCTGAAGTGATCAGAGGCAACAATAAGTTCGTATTTTTATGGGTACAATGGATAGTTCAGGAAGCTGTTTTTGATGAAATGTGTGTAGTCAGCCAGGTGCCATATGACTTTGGCACATTACTGAAAGAGAAAGCATACACTTTTGTGCCATGGCTCCAGCTCCCATCCTCAGGCACCTGGCTTCCTTGTGCTAAGAGAATAAGGCTCAGCTAACTGGGAAATTCTGAATATTACACCGACCTATCTCTATATTGCCACCTGAGGTAAATTCCTACACATATTCTCTCCAGTTTGCTTTTATGTACTTTGCTTTGGGCTTACCTCTATGTGAGAAATATAAAACCATTATATTTTTAAAATTTTCCATTTTCTAAAATCTTCTAAAAAAAAAAGCATGCTTGCTGCCCAGCCGGCATGGCTCAGTGGTTAAACATCGACCCATGAACCAGGAGGTCATGGTTTGATTCCCAGTCAGAGCACATGCCGGGTTGGGGGCTCAATCCCCAGTGGGGGGTGTGCAGGAGGCAGCCAATCAATGATTCTCTCATCACTGATGTTTCTATCCCTTTTTCTCTCTCCCTTTCTCTCTGAAATCAATTCAAAAAATAAATAAATAAAAAGGCTGTACTGTTCAATATAGATTCATTTTTCTGACCGTTATAAGAACAATTTTCTTTACTGCTTTATTTTTCATTAGACAAGTGTCTGAGATCAAAGAGATGTTGACTCAAAGGCCTTTTGTATAATTTGAAGTCAATGCATCTAGTAAATTAAAATCGATGCTCATACATAATTTTCATCCTTTGGAATCCTGTTCTCTTCATTAGCAGTCGCTCCCTCAGTCAACTGAGCAAATGTGAAGCTCTGTTCTCAAAGGAGAACTGGTCATACAGCCTGCTAGCAGGCAGTCAGCATTATAAGCAGCAGCATTATAGACCAGGAATGTCCTATCCACTCTACTCACTAGTTAATGTAATGATTTTTTCCCCAATAATGTCTCAGGGTTGCAAGTAGGGAGTTGGACCTAAAAAACCAGATTTTGTGACTTTGTTTTTAAAAATGCTGATTTAGGAATAATAATAAAAGTAATCTACTGAAAACCAGTGGTTAATGTTTTATGAGCCATCTACCAAAACGGGTTTTGTTTGTGTTATTAGCTTGGCAGGTACTGAGTAATAGTGCTCAAGACTAAAACACATGGTGTGAACCAGAGGTTATGGCCTTCCCCACATACTGGTGTATTTTGATTTCAGATAATAGAGAACATTCTATAACTACAAGAGATCCTGTTGACAGTTATGCTTGATTCTCATATGAAGCTTTCACATCAAACATAAATTGGTTAAGAATCAATTGATAGTAAGATTAATTGCTAGAACAAAGGGATTCATTCTAAAATAAGGACACTCTATACAATAATAAAGTTTTACAATATATTCTATTAGCATGTCCATAAATAATGAATATAATGACTGGCAGAGTATATACATTCATTAAATTTCTAATACTGGAGAATATTTTAGGAAAATAAGAATAGTGAAAAGGAAAACAAAGATATATGTACATATTTCTATTAATTTGAATGAAAATAAAAATAATAAACCCTTTTGACTTTAAATACATGACAAAATATTTTGTCTAATTCTTTCTTTAAAATAAAATCAATGACTGATACAAATTGTTTTCTAACTGAATTACATTAGCATCTGAACAATAACTACAACCAACCTCCAAAAGTTTTAAATTTGATACATTTTTATTTCAAGTTTTGAAATAAAACCTTCACTTGCTCTCTGTACAACAGTGTCAAAAAATTGATAGAAAAACTGATTTTCAGAAAAGTTTAAACTTTCCTTTGCAGAAATAACTTAAAGAAACTGCCTACATAACAAATATTTAATAACAGGAATATTTTCAGAGTTTGACTGTACAGTTAAGGATATTTTCACCAATGTATAGAAAATGTTACCCATTAAGTTGGCAGTGAAACAAGT